AAGCATTACCTGTTACTTGACCTTCTACAGTGCGTGGCCAATCTTATGAAAAATTGGCCGAAATTCTGAAATGAGTTTTCGATTAGGGGGAATTACTTAAGTGGGCTTGTAATATTAAATATCATGCAACATAATCCTATAATATTTCGGACTCGCGAGGATTCCGGTTTATGAGTGTATTTCTTTTTGACTGGCTGCAAAAACCGCACTCGGCAAAAAATAACTACTTAGGTCGCATGCATTTTTCATACTGATTTTCGATAGTTTTCTAAATTCAAGCATACAGCTGTATGGTCGGCAGCAGAGTGGGCCGTGCTTCGGATCGCCTCTTTACAGTGTGCTCAAGGTAGGCCGTGTTATGCATGTAAACTTATAAAAATTAATTCAGAGGTCTTCGACCAATGGAACCGAGGACAGCGCTCCGACTGTCAACGGCCGGAATGGACATTTAAAAATGCCTTAAAAGGGCGTATAACAGCTTACAAAAACGCGGTTCTAAGTCCCCGGCAGACAGTGAGCCAACCATTACTGTAAACTATAAGCTTTAGTGGTGATCGATGAATAATATTAGCATACTAGACATATTTGTATTGGTGCAATGTTACACTTGTATAAGCCAACCGCAGTAGTCATATGGACATGGAAACTTACGCCAGAATTTCAGACAATTAAAACAATGTGTTTTTTAATATTACGGGCTGATACGTTTTGTTCATGTCCTTTGGTTGATTAATAGTGTCCACACATGTTTCTTTGCAGATTTCTCGAATCCAGACAGTGGGACGGAGCCATTGACACAACAGTGACTTCCCATTTTGCCCTTTTTAACCGCTTTGTATTTTAAATAAAATTTTCGCATTTTCTCCCAAGCCTACCTACCGCCCAGGGTTAACATGATATTTGCCATAAGTTTGCTGGCCGATAAACGCTAATACCTTGGTGATCGGATCTGAGTGTCGGACATAAAGAATATAGGTAGACTGCCGTTTGGATAAAAGAATGTGTTCCAAATTTTTGGAGCCGATTCGCGGCCGACAGGCGAAACTGACGGCTCGATTCGGTTTTGACTGGAACCCCATTCGTGTCTCATTGTTATAAGGGAACTGACGACATCAAAGTTTCTTGAGATGCGCAACTAGTGGACTATTAATCCGCCTCCTACTTCATACCAAAGTCTAGAATATTGGCTTGTAACTCTAAGTTTTCCAGAGATTTACTCCGGAAATACAAACTTATTAAAAAGCAAATCCACAGTCTTTTGAGAGGACAGCGAACCGGATTCAAGTATTTAAGAGCTTATTGGAAATATTGAACTGGGATAACCTGAGGTTCATCTCGGAGGAGACGGGATAGCGTCCGCTTGAGCAGTCAGAAAAAGAGCTGAAGACAAAAAAATCATTCCGCATTCGTAGGCTTGTAAGGAGAGAAAACGGCGGTTTCAGGAGGTTTCACGCCTGCAAAAGCATTTAGCTCTCTCAGAAGCTTTTCCTGAGTAAGTTGATTTAGTCCATACTCTGTCCCACGAAAACCTAAAGCCACTGCCTCCGTACTTGATTGTCATGTCATTGGACATCAGGGACTCTGAAACACCTCCTGAAGA